GACGATTTGAACTGCGTCATGCCCTGCTTCTGGATTAAGCTCAAGCTGCCCCTACCTACTCCGCCTAATAGTGACGCGCCCACAGTCCCGGCGCTCGTCGACAGTGGCAGGCCCGATGGCTTCCTCAAGAGATTGCCTTGGGCAAGGCGCTCAAGAAGACGACGACCAAGGACAGCAGCGGTGCGGCAACAGCCGGTCGCGTGTTGGACTAAACGTCATGTGCGCATGCATGTCTGTAAGTACGCAGTAAGCTAGGCAGCAAGGGAAGGCACTCTGTGTTTTTGCGTGTATGAGTGGTGCAGGAGGAGGAGGAGGAGGAGGAGGAGGAGCAGAGAAATCATTGCCAAGACCATGTGCGCGCTCATGTCTCTGCGATCTCCGTGCTCCGAGAAACGTGTCGGTGGTATTTTTGTATGCACTATTCTAGCTATGTAGTCTGTCGGCCCCTATTTCCCAGCAAGACCAAGTTTATAAAAACCATACCCGTGAAGCCGGGGGAAGCGGCTCATTGTTTCGTCACACCTCGCTCTGTTCAGTTCCAGCATGGGCTCCTCTCTCTCTCTAGCCATCTGACGCGTGGCATGACTTTTGGACCCTCGACGATAAGTGCCCGTGTTAAGAGGCGCCTCGGTCTCGCCCCCCCCATAACGAGCGCTGCTAAGAACGTGCTGACTGGCAAAACTGTAAGATGGACCCAACGCAGACGAGGCAGGGTTATCCGAGACGGGGCGTGCCAGGTCGCAGAGCTGCCGGCGCCAGCCGTCGTGCGCGCTCCGACCTCGATGCAGACGCGGCGCGACGCACGCGCCTGGAGGCCGTCAGGTCCGTGGGAGGGGCCCTCACCGCTATGATGGGTTGAGGATAGGGGGGATTCCTGCTGGAAGAGAAATGAGTTGGGCGTCGAGTTCTGGAAGACGAGGGGCAGCTGCTCATTTCACGAGGTCTTGATGCGGGAGCCAGCCGAGTGCGCGGGCGGGAGAAACCTGCACGCAGGTCTGGGTGCAGGTCTGGGGACAACGACGATGTGAAACCTCGCGAGAGGGGTCCGTGTGAAGTTTCCAAGGGGCAGCGTGTCATGACGGGGAAGCTGAGTGGACGGTTGAGATCTGGAGATGAGAGGATCGGGGAAGAAGAAACGTTTGTTTCCCTGTTTGGTAAGCGTTTGTCAATTTTTTTCTTCTTTATTTCCTTCTTCAACCCTGCATCTGCAGAATGGTCATCGGACCGTGTTGCCTTTGGAGGTCGTCAATGAGAAACGGGGACCCAAGGGCGTTTTTTTTGGGGCGCGCCTGCATGCATGCATATTCAGGGGATCTTAGTCAGGGGATGTATCTGGGTCGTGGTGCTCGTTCGAGATGAACACGATGGCATTTCGGAAGATTGCGAGAAGGTCAAGCAGGTCCTGCAATGGGGCTCCGGATATACCGAGAGAGAAGCAACGAAGCAGCGAGTTTGCGTTTGACGCCAGATGGGAAAGGCGATCGAGGATCCGGAGTGCATCGCGTTTCGGAGGCATCGCGCGTTGGCGATCAAGGCCAAGTCGCATTGGCTAACCTAGCATACATGGTAGTTGGGTCGAGGATGGTCTGTCGGCGCTGCTCCTGATTTGCCTCATGAACATGGGGGCAGCAGTTAGTCACGGCACGCACGTTGAAGCCTGGCGAGAAGAGCCGGCCTGTCATGGTCGACAGGCCCAGGGTAGGCTTGCCGCCCGAGGCTAGATGCGCTGTTCGTGCAGAAGAGAAATTTGGGCGTTATGCGGAGAGTGGGTGTTCCGGAGCCGGGGTCTCGCTCGGTTTAGGTCTGGTCTGGGTCCGAATCCGACGGGGCAGGCGAGGCCATCGTGGAACGAACCGTCAGGTTGATTGGAGAGGGGACCGCCCTCCCTTCAAAAAATGTCAAGAGGGAGAAAAGGCTTGGTCTGATGGCATCTCATGATCGACGCGTGATGGGTCGGGCGGGCGAAACCTCGAGGCGGCATATGTTCGTATCCTCCCTGCACTCGGGAAGAGGCTGAGTTTCCGAACCTTTCAACGTCGAGGCTGTGACCTGTGACCTGTGAACTGTGAACTGTGAACTATGACTGCGAACTGTCATTTGTGAGTGGCTCATGCTGGAGGGACAGGGAGGAAAGACTGGAGCCGTGGGTTGAGCTAGGCTGAACGCTCGGATCGGGTTCGAGTCCAAGGTCTGAATGCCATGATGTCAGATGCAGCTCTGAATCTCTTTGGTGATGAGCTAATGACAGCCCGACTGAGATGATACCTGGCCATGGGAAACACTGAAACTGGTTCACCTCGGCCTGTCATTTGAGCACTGGGCTGCTTTTCTGCCCAAGCTTTGATCAGAGCCAGGCCCATGTGGGGGTAAGCTGAGTTAGGGCGAAGGTATTTTTTTTTCTTTTCTTTTTCTCTTCAGTACCTAGGGATAGCTGCGAATGACTTCAGAATGCCTGCTGTTCCAGGGGACCCTGTCTGAAGAGAAAGGCCTGAAGAGACGGAGCGACTCACAAAGAGTGACAGAGAACTCACAAGAGTGACAGAGAACTCACAAGAGTGACAGAGAAAGTGGAGGCAGAGAGGAGGACGAGGATTTGGATCACCATGGCGTCATTGGCTCGTCCTGGGTCTCGGCAGTGCAGCCTGGCGGTCCCAAGGTTCCATTCGCTCCGTTTGCTCCATATCTCAATCGGCTCCATCTGCCGGGGTGGAGGGGAGGGGGGGGGGGGGGGGGACACAGCGTTCTGCCATCTCCCGTGTCGCCCCGTCTGCAGTGGTACGTTGGCGATTCACGCTGGTGACCTTGGGAAGGGTCTGGAAAGGGGTCTCTGGGAAGGGGAGAGAAACGCGAAAACCTAGCAGGCTGGGTCACGTCTGTCCAACCATCCCAGGGCAGCGCCAATAGCTGCTGGCACGCGGTCGTCGGCACAATGAAACAGAAGCCCTGGGGGAAGTAACCCAGCCCGAGCCGGCGTGCCAGGCTCACAAAGGAAAGAGAGAGAAAAAAAGGACTGCTAAAAATGGGCGCCCGGTAGTGGTTTGTCACGGGCATTCCGAATGATGAGTTAGTGGTGGTGGTGGCCTGTGGTGGAGTTGTAGAGGGGCAGGTTGGCCCGAGGGCAGCCCGGTACGGCGAGACCACTGGGTGTTGAGCTGAGGCGCTGCTGGGCCTCTCCGCTGGACAGGAATTACACCAAGTCATGCGGGGTTCATACTCTGAGCCGTGGCGAGGAGGCCTTCCCATCGACAAAGAACATGCCCATGTGTCATGACGATCAATGTCCCTCTGTGAATCAGGCACCTGTCTTCCTGTCTTTGCCATTGGGGATGACGTGAAGTCGGGATTAAGACAGACAGACCCGAATCTCGAATCTCACATGTCAGCAGATGGGCGGCCAAGTCAGGTACCAGAGTCGCTGGATGAGGTCCAATGGGCGAATCAGAAATTGCACTTCGCATGCAGGGAAGGTGCGGCGGGGTTCATTGGCTGACGTCAAACGGAGACGTCCCATTGGTCCGGAATGTAAACAACTGGGCGCGTCGACGCGTCTCGGCGGCGCGTCACAGGCCGACTTCACGGCCTCGAGGCGGCCTCGAGGCGGCCTTTGGTGCACTCGAGTGCATCTCGACACCGAGGCGAATCTGGCCACCAACTGGTCGGCCTTTGGCGCCCACAACCACAGCCAATCATGCCCGAAACCCTTGCACGACGTGCAACATGGTCTTCTGTCGACGACTGCTAATCTGGTCTGGTCTCGTTAGTAGGCCAAGTCGGTCATCACTCATCACGACGAAACTCGAGACGCGTCGACCAACACATGCAGCCTGCCCTTCCCCCTCTCTTCCGTCGCTGTCGATCCCAGCACTAGCAGCTGCCGACGAGACGTGCGCAGGACAATCCCATTCCCACTGCGTCCACTGATCGAGATGGCGCTCCATCATCCCAGCGTGCGGCACCACGCACGCGTCTGTCTTCAGCCTCTAGTAGCTAGACTCGAGGCTCAATCAGAAGGGCTTGGCTGCTAGTTCAGATAAGCCCGATCAGCGAACGCCTCTCAAAACCTACGATACCGCTTAGCACCATCTTGGCTTCGATACACTCCCCCCCCTCGTACTGCGTGCCGGTGTCCATTCGCCCGCAGTGTGAGCGTGGCGTGAGGGGCACCAACGCCCTCAACTATTCATCGCTGTGACCGAGTGTAGTACCAAGTCGCTAGTCTGGTTAACGATCTGTCGAGGACCGAAAAAAAACAACGAAAAAAAAACTAAAGGCCGCTGACTGCCCTCCTCGCCCGAATTTCCGCCGCAGAATCAATTTCTTTTCCCCTCTTGCTCTCAAACAAATTTCCAGAATCCAGCCTTCACAAGGCACCTGAGCCACTCCACTCTGCCGCCCACTTCACGGCCATCCCCCCTCCCCGGAGCTCGGGCCATCATCCATCATCCGTCGCCCATCGAGCGTGCCAGCAGCGTACCAGCAGCGTACCAGCGTGCCAACGCCAAAGCGCGTCCAGCTCTTCGTCTCGCGCGCCCACACCTTCCCAGTGCCACGACCCCCGGCCCAGGCTCCATCCCTGTCGCGCCCGGCCTCGCTCCTGCCCTGACCTGGCTTGCCTGGGCTGCTCTTCGTGTCAGCCCGCGGCGTGCTCGCCCAATCGTCGATCCCCGCTCTCTCCCTCGCCCCACCGGACCTGCGTGCTTGGGACCTTGCAACCACTGGCTCTGCCGTCTTTTTCGGGCAAGTCACGTCTGCCTCTGGCTGGCTGACCACCTCACCAGGCCCTGGCTGGTATCATCATCCCCACCCATCCAGGAAGCAGCAAGTCGGTCGAGTACCAAGGAAGAGTAGGTAGGAACCAGGAAGTAGCACCATAGCAAGGCGCGGCCCAGTCAAGCACTGGCACTGAAGCAGGTAGTACCTAGCTAGGAGGAAGGCGCGCACCCACCCACCTTCCACCTCCCACGGCTCGCGCTTGCCCACGCTCTCATAGGCTCCGGCGCGCCCTCTGGATCATCCACGTCCACAGCCTCTCCACATCCACTCTTCACTCCCGCTTCTCCGTTTGCTCTTTCCCGTCCTGCAGCTCTCCTCCTCCCCTCTTTTCACCACCACCACCCCATCCCGTTTCCCAAACCTCCAACGACCGAATCTGTCTCTCAACCTTTCGACTCCTTCGACTTGGACTTCTCCCAACAAAACTTTCGCCTTGCATCTTGGCTGCTGACACCAACGCGCCTTCAACCCATCCTCGACTGCTCGCACTCACCAACACGTCTTTCCACTTATCGCCACGACCGCCAACTGCCCACTGTCCTCGACACATGCGCGCGCGCGCCCTTCGATCAACCTAGTGAACCACGCACCATCCCAACACGTTCTGCTCAAACCACGTCCGAGATCGTGATCCATCCAACCTGCTTCGCACATCGCCCACCCCCATGGTCACAGAGAGCCCCTTGCTTCCACGACCCACCCGTCATTTCCAGAGACGAAAGACCCAGGTGAGCACATGAATCTCTTCTTTGAACCGACCCTCCCTTGATCATGCATCTCTGCCTCCCCACCCCCCAAGCCGCAAGCACAAGAATCCAGGAACACGGCCCGCCAACGCTGGTTCCTGCTTGATTAAACGCCCTGCCCTCTCCCTCGACATATTAGACCCGGGCCTCCGCACCCTAGCTAACCCAGAACCCTCCAAAGACGACACCCCTGTGTTATCGATCAAGCCTCACCAATTCCTTCGTCTGCTAGCTGCTAGACGTCCCGACGCCAAACGCTTCTCCTACCCCGATCATCCGTGGTCGAGTCGACATGGCCAGACCGACACGTCTTGCCGGCGGCGCCCAGGACAACTTTCAGATCTTCCGTGACGACTACTACGAAAATTTAACCCCCATGATGAGCCACGCACCAATGCCCGCCGTGGCCAAGCCTCCTCGTAGGCCCCTCGCCTCCTCCAACAGCAACGTCGTCCTCAACCCCCCTTCCTCCTCCTCGTTCCGACAGTCGCCCGTCAAGGGTGCTCACATGAACAGCGCGCCACTGAACTCGCTGCAACCCGCACAGAGCAACCGCCTCGGCATGGTCACAATGGCACCGCCATCCTCCAAGTCTGCCAACACGGACTCTCTTCAGAAGAAACCCTATCTCTCCAAGTTTAAGACGGTCGCCCAAAAACCCGTGACCGACGCGAGCTTCAACTACGGCAAGGAAAACGTGCAACCGCAACTGTTCCCTGCGCCTCCAACGATGAACTTTGACGCGTACTTTGTCCCGACGCAGAAGACGCCTGGAAAACGTGGATTGATGGATGCCGCTCCTATCAAGGAGGCAAGACCTGTGAAGAAGGCAAAGCTGGACGAATCTGGTCTCCCACCCTACGACTCCTTCCCGCCCATCACCGATGACGGCAACAAGCCCGGACACAGCTATGCGCAGCTGATTGGAATGGCCATTCTGCGATCGCCCCTCAGGCGCCTTACCTTGGCCCAGATCTACAAATGGATCTCGGACACCTTCAGATTCTACAAGGCCGAAGACGCCGGCTGGCAGAACAGCATCCGCCACAACCTCAGTCTTCACAAGGCCTTCATCAAGGTTGAGCGGCCCAAGGACGACCCGGGCAAGGGCAACTACTGGACCATTCAGACAGGCATGGAGCAGCAGTTCATCAAGGAGAAGCCCACACGTAAAACGGCCTCCACGGCCGAGAACCTGCCCGTCATGTCTACCCGCCTCGAACCCTCTCGCCCCGTCTCGATGCCTCTTCCCGAACCAACGCTGCCCCCGCCTGCGCCCGTCAGCCGCGCCACGCTGCCCCCGCTCCCGACGTCGCAGGCCACCCTGCCCGCCGAGATGTCGTCGGATGCCACGATTCCCATCTCCGATCCTGCCGGACCCGAAGACGCCGCCGACAAGGGCCCAGAGTCGGAGGCGCAGTTTGAGCGTCACCTGTACTCACCCATGCCTGCCGCCATGCACTCGTCCCCTCCTGTCCCTCGCCACATGGGCTCACAAAGCCGCACGCCGCCTCCCGCAGCGCGTTTTTTGGCTACATCGTCCATCAACCGCTCACACAAGCGCAAGTTTGCTTCCATGGACGACAGTGGCTACATTTCTTCTCTCGAGTCCTCCGCCATGAGGTCCACGAAACCCGGCCTGCTGACATCTGAGGCTGACCGCCCTCGCTCCAAGCGTGGCCGCACCAGCCGCGAGGGCCGCGCCGAGACGGAAATCGCCAGGCTCCGCGCTTCCTCCTACGACAGCCCCAGCAAGGGACGCTCGTACAACGCTCTGCCTCCTCCTTCTTCATCTCCCTTCCGGACCACCGAAGGGCAGATGCTCCCGCCTCTGACACCCGCCATGAAGCTGAAGGCTCCGCAACGTGCGCCGCCCTCGGCCTCGCCGAACACCAACCTGCAGATTCACCGCGACCAGGTCCGTGCCATGTTGCAATCACCGCTACGCAAGATGACAGGCGCTGGCGACGAGAACACGCCTTGGAGTCCTGCTTTCAATCTCGAGCACTCGTTGTACGATTTCAACAGCATGAACTATCCTGACCTCGACCTCTGGCAGGACCTGGACGAAGGCATGTTTGCCGGTGCAGCCGCCTATGAGTCGCCCTGCAAGAAGTCGACCAAGCGCCCCCGCATTGAGCGTACCCAGTCGGCGAGTGCTCTGGCCGACCTAACCAGTGCGCCCAACGGCGCTGCGGTTACTTCGACACCTTTCCTCAAGGGATCCGAAGCCATCACCTGGGAGACGCCGAGCAAGGTGTTCATGGGACTTGACTCGTCACCCTCCAAGCCTTACAGCATGCAGTCACCTAGCAAGCGCGCTTCCCCGCCCAAGATGGGCTCCCTTTACGATATGCCTCCCGATGGCTTCTTCCCCAACATTCTTGACGACCCCAGCTTCCTCATGGAGGACAGCGAAAACTACCCCCTCGACATGTGCCAGGGCTTTCAGAAGATCGGCTCGGGCTCTCAATCAACAGAGACCAAGGCGTCTACGAAGCCTGGACTCCCACGGAGCTACACTACCCGCTTCTAACAAGCGTGTAGAGCCTTGATCTGAAAAACGGTGAAGGGAGCTGCGCATTTTGCCCGGCCTCCGCTGGAGATGGACGCTACTTTTTTTTTTTTACGACGCAACGAGACAGACAGCACTCGCGACACCCTCAAAGGATGAAATGCTTCCATGGGGACGGGAAGCAGGGCCGGCCCACACTATTAGAGAGTGCCGAATGGGCTTCGCGGCTTTCCCTGCTGCCTATGATACTTTCCTTAACTATTCCGAGTAATGACGATAATGACGGACGGAGGAGACGCACAAACACTTGAGTATGGCTCGATGGATGGATTGCATGACGCAGCACGCACGGAAGCACGGAAGCACGGAAATTTGATTTTTTTGTATGTTTGATTTTCTGGGGGCTTGTGGAACACTTGGACTCGCCTGTGTCTGGATCGGATGAACGGCTGGCGTTTGCGGTTCTGGCTGGTCTGCGTTTGGCTAGGCAAGGAAAGGACTCGGATAGGCAACGGTGATACCATCGCTGGATGTGTACAGCTGCATTCTACGGATGGGGTAGTTTACTTGTCTTACACATTGACTGATTATGTTGACTACGGTTTTCCTCTCGTATTGGATTTGGTGCGGAGTACCCTGTTTTGACTTGATGATGTGATGTGATTTGGACGTCTGTGGGCTTGACATGTCCGCGGTTGACTCGATCCTGATCACTTGACACGATCTACTAGCGACTTGACATTGGGCGGCCTGACTCCCCCCCTTGCTTTCGAAATCGACGCTACAGAGCCCCGAGTCCACTCGCACCTCACTCAGCCGCTTGGTGACACGTCGGACGCCACCAGACGCCCCATCACCCACGCGGCTCGACGCAAGTATTCAATAGCTTTTCAGCAGCAGCGACCAGTTCCTGCACGGTTCATGCACGTGGGGGAGTGAACAAACGGGTCTCGACTTCTCTCTCTCTCGCTCATGCTCGCGCACCCAGGGTCTGTCTCGGCGTTATGGAAGGGGTATCTTTGTTCAAAGCACGGGCTCAGCACGCGGCGTGGCCTCTCTATAGAGTGATTGTTTAACCAAACCCAAAAAAAAAAAAAAAAAAGGCACGCAAAAGCAAAATCGCGCCGCAAGGGACGCCCACCTGCGAACGCCTGTTTCCCCTCGGAATCCGGACAAAAGAAAAGATGACGAGAGATGAATGGGGCAGGCCCGTGGAGCATGTCGTGGGGGTCCCTTGGTTATTTCCGAGTGTGTCGATGGTGTCGTCGTTTGGAGTTCGAGCGATGCAAAGGAAACAAGGTGCCCTTGGTCGTGGTATCGATTTGCAGCCTTGGTGCAGCCTTGAATGCTGGCTTCAGATAGGCTTGAATGCTGGCTTCAGATAGGCTTGAATGCTGGCTTCAGACAGCCTTGAATGCTGGCTTCAGACACCCTCGACGACACCCCCACGTCACATCGCCTCACGACAAGCACGCCAACCAGCTCGCCCTCAGTAAATGCCCATGCGCGAGGCCCAGCCGCCGCTCTCCTTCTGGTTGACGCTGATCGTATAGGGAAAGGGATTCGCGCCCTGGGCCGTGATGGGCGGGATATGGTCCTTGTGAGCGTTGGCGTGCGTGACGATTTTCATAACGGTCGTGAGGAGGGTCTGCTCCATGGCCTTGCGGACTTTTGCGCGTTCTGCTCAAGGGTCAGCACGACAGCCATCGACTGGGAGCAGCTTGGCTCCGAAGAAGAAGACGCCGAGCGGAGAGGAACGTACCGCTCTCGGTCCGCGGCTCGGCGACGGTGACCCGCACCGTCCACGTCTCCCAGCAGACCTCGTCGTCGCCGCCGCGGCCGACGAGCCAGGCCTTGCGGCGGCGGCGCTCGAAGAACTGCACCGTCACTTGGCCGCGGCCGTCGGCGGGGGCGGCGTCGAGGTGGCGCAGGCGCTGGTCGATGAGCGTCTCGAGCTCGACGTCGTCGACGTGCGGCAGCGTCAGGTCGAGGACGTCGCGGGTGCGGGGTGTCAGGGCGGGGAAGAAGCGGTGGAAGAAGATTGTGTGTAGGATTCCTATTTTCGGTCGTCTCTGGTCAGCGCGATGTACTTGAGAGTGCAGAGGGGGGATGCAGGCCGGGGGTTGTGGATGATAGATTGAGGCATCGAACGCAGCCATCGGAGCATGACGCGGGGTCCGGTCGGGGAAACGGCGCAAGCGGCAAAAGAAAGCAGACATACCTTTGACGACATCGCGCACTGAGGCCGGGTCGGCGAAGGCGTCTAGCATGAATTCGGGAGGGCTTCGTTGATCCATGGTCGTCGCGTCCAGTCTCTGTGTCGCCGGCGAGGGAGCAGCAGCAGAGGTCGTGACAAAGACGGACATGGCATTGGATGAGATGATGGAAGGACGGAGCGACAGACAGGCATGTGGGCAGGCGGGCAGGCGGGCAGGCGGGCAGGTGGGCAGGTGGGCACGGGAAGGGATGAGGGGCGGGCGGGGTGGGGCGGAGGGACGCGATAAGGAATGCAAAGTCGAGATAGAGGGCCCCCGAAAAGCTGCGCAAGCTGCTTACGGCAATACAATGACCTCAGACAGATGCACCTATCGGGTTCCCCCAGCCCGCGAACAACCGCGAAGCTCTAGACCACGTCCATTCGTGTGTGTATATGGTGTGCCACGACTATCAATCCCCTTCAAGAGCAGCCCTCCCAGAATCACATTGCCCGCCATGGACACTTCAATACCCACCCAGATCGCCGAGACGGTCCAGACAGCACACATCAACCGCGCGCCCTCGCCGACCCACGACCTCAATCCCTCGACCGCCGCCTCCGAGAAGCGCCCCGTCGACATTGATCTTGACCTCGACTCGGCGTCTGATGACGGCATCGACAACCTCGAAGATGCCATTCCCTACAGCGTCCTCCGCCCGCGGCGTCGCTCCCACAATCTCCCGCCCATGCCCGACCTGCGCTTCGAGCAGAGCTACCTCAACAGTCTCGCCAAGGCACAGTCATGGCAGGGCGTGGCATGGATCACGACGAGGGACCAGGTGCGTGGCGCTCACGGGGGCATGCGCGAAGGGGAAACCATGCTCGACGCTTCCGGCAACGAGTGGGAGCAGTGCTGACACCTCAGTGGATAGGTCTTGATGCCGCTGGTGCAGGGCGTCGTGTACAACCTCTTCCTCCTCGGCTGGCAGAGCTGGAACCGCAACGCACAGATCCATGGGAGCTCCGTCGGCGCGAGGGTGCGTCGGTGGTGGTATGGCGTCAACAAGTGGGCGATACCCGCGCCAATCAGGAGGTAGGGACCTCATCACAGGCCCGAAATGAAGGGCACATTCGGCCAGGCGGCCGCCGGTACGGCGATAGAGCACGGCCAGTATTCCAGCCAAGGCAAAGGGGCAAAGGGCAAAAGACCTGTATCCATAGCATGCTACTAAACACCATCGCTCATAGCGGTGTATTCTCTTCTAAGTCATGAAACAACCACGCACGCACCCTGCGGCACTGGTCGTCGTGATAATATCTGATTCGCCTTGATAGATAGGAGCCATCCCCGGGGCGCCTTGAGCTGCAGACATCGTGAAAACACGGTAAGCCTCATCCGAACCGCCCGTCCTTTCCCCGTAAACGCCGTTCCACGCCTCGGTCAACAGAATGCTCCCATCATTCAGAGAGCCGAACCATCATTCACAGGCCCTGCCGCGACGCTCTTCTCCGGGCTTCCCCTAAAAGCCAGGGACGTGGGACCCGGCAGAGCCACAATCTCAGGTTCCGGTGTGCGTTCCGTCTGCAAGCTCTTCGGTGTCGGGACCTTCTGGTCATCGGGCTTCTCGTGTCGAACTTCCTTCTTGCCTTCGGGAGAAGGAGTCAGATTTGTCGCCGTTGCTCCATCTTTAGGGTTTGGTCGCTTGACCTTGAGCTCCACTATTAGCTCCTGTCGCGGCCGGTCTTCGAGATCATCTTCCACCATGGCCTCGTCATCGTCGACATCGTCATCATCGTCATCATCGTCCTCTTCGCTTTCCTCTGGCTGATGGTCGTCTGCCTCTTCCTCGTCGTCGCCAAGGTCAGGCTCGACGAGATCCCCCTCATCGTCCGTCTCATCGGCCGAGTAGCCTCGAGACCTGCTGCCCCGGGCCCTGCCATTACCGGCATAGTTGACTGCTGCCGATCGCCGGGGTCTGCCATTGGCGTTGACGCCGCCGTCTTCCGGATCATCTCCTTGCACACTAGGCGCGGCACTGCTAGTGCCCTCAGCCTCCAGACGATTCGGCGCCCGTACTTGGCGGCCGCTCGCAGTCGTCAGGGGACCCGCCAGCTCGGTAGGCGTGTGTGTGCCGGTGTTACGAGTCGATCGGCGCGTAGAGTCGGTAAAAGAGCCATCCTCTTCGTCCGAGTAAGTGTACTTGACGCGCTTGCCACGTGTGCGCCCCTCGTACAGAGAGAAGCCAGGGGAAGGCCGTTTGAACCGATTCCTCTGCGCCTGGCGATATTCGCGTCTACGGCGTTTCTGGTTCTTGTCAGTAGCCGAACAAGAGAGGTCGGGCCTTGCTTGGCAGCTTACCTCTTCTGTAGCCTCGAACCTGGGAACGGCCGCAAGCATCTGTTGTGCAAGCTTCTTGGCTTTTGGACCACCATCCTTCGTCTGTAGCTTCTCGGCCAGTGCGTTCAGCTCTTCGATTGACCCAGCAACAGAGATCCAAACGCGGTTGAAGCTTGCTGGGTTGCCCTCGCGATAGACTCGGAAGGCCGTGTCATCCAGGCCCTCGACCAGAAAGTAGCGTCTCTTGTCACTATCAGAGCCCCATGGCTGGACGGAGAGTGGCTGGTTCATGTCGTCTTCGTGACGATTCTGTTTGTAAGACTTGGTGATGATGGCCTTGACAGCATCGGAGGCGGAGAGAGACCAGAGGATCAGGGCGCGAAGTATCTTGAGCTAGTGGAGCATGGTATCAGCAATGAGCTGTATCGAGGGAGGGCTCGTTTTACATACCCTCTGCACGTTGTTCATGTCGTTGAAGGTGACGCCGCCAGACAACGGGCTCTTGCCTTCCCATGCTCGAGGCCACTGGCTCTTGTGGCTACTGATGGCATCCTCCAACGCGCGCATGTAGTGGCCGGGCCTATGACCTGATTAACGATATTGAAGGGTACCGACTGGGGCAGGTGGCATACTTGACGTCCTGCTTGCGGTTGAGTAGCAGTCCGAGCACGGCGCACAGGAAGTTTTCAACTCGCTGGCCAGGCGGGCTGTCGCTGATATCAGTCTCGAGTTCTTGAGGGCCAAAGTTGGCAAGCGACTTGGGCATGGCTTCGTTGAATCGGCTTCGGAACATGACAATGAACTGGGAGCGCAATCGCGAATTAGCAATATGGCCTCGGGACTTTTGCGCAAGCGCGTATGTCGCGTCCATCGCGACAGGACATGCGACGCGCTGGATACATACAGCAATATCAGGGTTGTCGGCCAGAACGAATTCATGCGGAGGTGATGGCGATCGTTTACGGGGAGGCGGCGATGCCTCCTTCTTTGTCGTCGCTTTTTTGCCCTTCGCAACCTTGGGGAAGAACTTCTGAATGCCTTTCTTGGGCGGCGAGGGAGGGTTGTCGGACTCCATGTCAGAAGGGGCTGGAGACAGCGAAGACAAAGATGAAAGGTCGGAAGAATCGTCCGCCATTTTGGCAGCGGTCAATTCTGATCCTGGCGCGTGGCAAGAGGTGGTGGGAGCAGGCACTTTCAGGTGATGGTGGAAGGAACGCGTTCGACGTGTCGGAGGAAGGTACGACTTAATAGGTACAGTACCCAGCAGGTAGGCGCGGTGACGGGAGGTGGAGCTTCGGGGGTAAAGGGTAGGGGACGTGGTGATGGAGGAGAGAGAGAGGTCTCGGCCAGCCAGCCAGCCACCAGCCGATTCGACAACTACATGACCATGGCCCAGTTGAGCCGCACAGCCCAGGCAAGAAGCTGAGTGACCATAGCGCAGATGAGCGGCCTTCATCTAGCTGCTTTCTTGATGATGCATGTTAGGTTATCGCGAATTTGGGATCCAACACTATCCATGCGCTGACTGGCTGAACGATGGGGCTACAGAAAGGCGATACCCCACCCAGGTCCTACACACGAAGTTGAACGACCACGTCTGGGAGAGTGGGGCACATGGGCAAGAAGTGCGCAGGTCACGTGGGCGGCACTGGCCCGTTTGGTTGCCCACAACTCTCTGAGAAAAATCGCTACCTTTGACCGAAATACCCTAACCTCCGTCCATCACCAACTCATTCCGCCGCACAGGAAGTCAAGATGGGTCGCGTCGTAAGTGCCGCCTCGATTCGCAACAACATGGCCATTGGAATTCGAGTCGCTGGATTGTTCTTGGGGGACGACGACGAATTTCGACCGCCAGACCTCGACGGCGCCTCGACTCGAATATTTTCTGGCCATGAAGCTGCAACTTCAACACAGGAGGACAATGGGCGCTGACACAACCTTGCACAGATCCGCAACCAGAGAAAGGGCCGCGGCTCGATCTTTACGGCCAACACCCGCCTCAACAAGGTGAGAAGCGACCCGATTTCCCCTGCCCCGCGAAAACGGGACTGGGACGAAAACTCCCCCCCCCCCCCCCCTCCAACGAGGACGAAATTTCCTAACTTCCATCATCACAGGCCCCGGCCAAGTTCCGAACTCTCGACTACGCTGAGCGCAATGGCTACCTCCGCGGAATCGTGAAGGAGATCATCCACGACCCCGGTCGTGGTGCTCCCCTCGCCAAGGTCACCTTCAAGGACCCCTACAAGTTCAAGCAGCACACCGAGACCTTCATCGCCAACGAGGGCATGTACACCGGCCAGTTCGTCTACGCCGGCAAGAACGCTGCTCTGACCGTCGGCAACATCCTGCCCCTGAGCTCCATGCCCGAGGGTACCGTCATCTCCAACGTCGAGGAGAAGATTGGTGACCGTGGCACCCTTGCCCGTACCTCCGGCAACTACATCACCATCATCGGCCACAACCCTGATGAGGGCAAGACCCGCATCAAGCTTCCCTCTGGTGCCAAGAAGGTCGTCCACAGCCGCTCCCGTGGCATGATCGGCATTGTTGCTGGTGGTGGCCGTACCGACAAGCCTCTCCTGAGTATGTTTTTTTTCGCTGCCTGGCGCTCCGGGGGCCATTATTGCACGAGAAGCGCAGATTTGCTGATTCCATTTACAGAGGCTTCGCGTGCCAAGCACAAGTTCGCTGTCAAGCGCAACTCGTGGCCCAAGACTCGTGGTGTTGCCATGAACCCCGTCGACCATCCCCACGGTGGTGTAAGTAGCAGCGACCGCTTTGCGCTCGGGACAGAAGACGCTGACACAAGACACAGGGTAACCACCAACATATCGGCAAGGCCTCCACTATCTCTCGTTACGCTGTCGCTGGTCAGAAGGCTGGTCTCATCGCCGCCAGGAGGACGGGTCTGCTCCGTGGTACCCAGAAGGTCAAGGATTAAAAAGCTGGCTAGGATGGTATCCATGGTTCCATTGGGATGGTGTTACGCGGTTGGCATCTTTCGAGGTACTCGCGAGGGCAAAAAAACTCGTAGCTCTGGTGGCAAGTACCATGACATTTCACGCATTAAGAAACCATGCCCCGGATGTCAGCGATGTGTGTCGGATACCCCGCGAATACAAATGTTCACGACCCAAGGAAGTGATGCATTAAGGGGACACCATTGATTTGTGTGACTGGAACATGCGACGAAGGGTCACGTTCTCCCAAAGACGCCTATACTTTGGCGCTTACAACGTCTTGGCCGGGCTCAACAGCGCTCGCTACACTTTTCTTCTCGCACACTGGATTTGAGGGTCATGACATCCACCATGAGCACCATCCCCGCCTACCTAGGTTAGGCGAGGGTCGCCAATCCCTACAATGTCGTAGAATTAACCCTTTTCAGGTCAGTTCACGATGCGGCCAGTTACGGGATCTGCCACGAGGGGACGGGTTGGAGTCTCGTAAGAAAGGGTTGATCGATCGGCGTTCAGTGTTGCTTGTTGGAGCGACGTTTATTTGGGTTGATTGAGTATGGAGATACAGTATCCGAGAGACACTCGGGCGATACTTAAGAGCGAAATTGAGTGCGTCACGTCACCCACGTCCTAAGCCAGCCAGACTCGAAATCATTTGGTTCTGGTGTTCGCATGGCCTTGCACTTGACACGCATCATTGCTTGCCATTCGTCGACGGGTGAACCGTAAGTAACAGGAATGAAGACGGACAAATCCGGCGCGTGGGCATCAAAGTGCTAACGCCGTACTACTACATCTTCACTTGCACGATTCATCATAATTGGGCCTGTCGTCGTGTAATTAGTGCTTTCCTTCGGCCGTGTCACGACAAGTGCTTCGATCGCTTGATGCCCACTAGCATGCGTTACAGGAAGCACATCGTCGTTGATAGTTCGGCTGGGAGCAACCTTTGCTATCTCAGGCTACCGACGATATCCACTTTGCTTGTGCGATGCTCGCAGTATTCAGGACGGTCTGCAGTGAAATGTTTGTCGGCACTTGCGTGTCAGGTTTTCTTCGACTACTGTCCCCTGTTTCACCCAAGACCAACCATATCAGTTTCCAGGTCAGCCTGCCGTAAGCTGACGGGCACAATGGACCTCAGCAGCATCGATGAAGCAGCGCGACTGGGGATGTTTTATACACCAGCCGGAATTGTCTCTTGAGCGGCCTGCGTGGCTCAGCTGCTGACCTGAAAAATAATGTGACTTCTGCGGAGTGGTAAAAGTAGCAAGATGGGAGACGCCGATTGCCGGGCGGGGACCGACTCGCTGCCACGACCGGAATCTCCCCTGAAAAAGTCATTCTGTGTTGGTTGAATGGTCAGGGGGTGGGCCGGCGGAGAAAAGCTGCCCCACGGAGGGACCAGCGACCCCTCGATGCTTGAGGGATTCTACACCCCACCTCCAAGTTTCCCTCTGACAACCCCGCCATCACCATCAACATCAGCAAAATTTCTCCCCTCCCCTCCAATCCCCCCAATATTCACATACCAGTCATCGCCATGGCCGCCATAAAGGAATACAGCCTTCTCGTCCTGGAGAACCCTCTCCTCGGTATGACCGACACCCATGGCCAAAGAATCCTTGACAAAGCTACGAGCTAACCCCTCACCGTCAGATATCCAGGCCGTTGGCAACCAGGAGCTCCTTGACAAGTACAAGCTCAAGGCCAACGATGCCATCCTCGCGTCTGAGGAGCACCTCAGCATCTACGAGGACCTCCTCACCAACTACGACGCCAAGCTGATTGCCGGCGGCGCTGCCCAGAACTCCGCTCGCGGTGCCCAGTACCTCCTGCCCCCCAACTCGGTCGTCTACCTCGGCGGTGTCGGCGATGATAAATACGCCGCCATCCTCCACGACGCCGTCAAGGCTGCCGGCCTCCGCGTCGAGTACCGCGTCGACCCCAAGACCCCCACCGGCCGCTGTGGTGTCGTCATCACCGGCCACAACCGCTCCATGTGCACCGAGCTCGGCGCCGCCAACACGTACGCCATGGACCACATTGACCGCCCCGAGATCTGGCAGCTCGCCCAGAACGCTGACGTCTTCTACGTCGGTGGCTACCACTTCACCGTCTGCCCCCCCGCCATCATGAAGCTGGCCCGCGAGGCCGCCGCCAACGACAAGGCCTTTGTCCTCTCCCTGTCCGCCCCCTTCATCTGCCAGTTCTTCAAGGAGCCCCTCGACGCCGCCGTGCCCTACTGCGACTACATCATCGGCAACGAGACCGAGGCCGCCGCCTTCGCCGAGTCCCACGGCCTCCAGTCCGCCGACCTCAAGGCCCTCGCCCGCGAGGTCGCCAACCTGCCCAAGGAGAACACCAAGCGCAAGCGCGTCGTCATCTTCACCCAGGGCACCGAGCCCACCTTTGTCGCCGTCCAGGGCGAGGACGAGGTCAAGGAGTACCCCGTCAAGGCCATTGAGAAGGAGAAGATCAACGACACCAACGGCGCCGGCGACGCCTTTGCCGGCGGCTTCCTCGCCGGCCTCGTCGAGAAGAAGTCCCTCGCCGAGAGCGTCGACCGCGGCCAGTGGCTCGCCAAGCTGTCCATCCAGGAGCTCGGTCCCTCGTACGTTCCACTCCGACCCTCTGACCTCGTCCATCCCGTCACTTGCAAAACAGAGCTGATTTTCTATCCCACATAGGTACCCCTTCCCCAAGCAGACCTACGAGTCTTCTTAGATCGGTCCAGGATCGACCGGGAGCATAGCGACTTCTGAACCTCACCCAAGCTCGCAGCAGAGCAGGGCCAGGTTCCGGGATAGGGCGAGGCGTTGCAGGTTTCACAAGGGAAAAACAGGTTTCAACAACAGGCGTTTTAACAACACCCCATGGAAGAGGGTTGGTTCACCCACCATTTAGCGAGAACGGCGAGCGTTCTTATTTTTTTGCATCAACTTGCAAGCAAGGAGAAAAATTCCCCGGCCCCCACGCCCTAGATCTGGATGATGATAAACGTCACGGATTACAGGGCTAAAGTGTTGTCGGCCAGTTTTTCTTTTATCGGGTTTTCATTTTCCCATCATCTACGGGCAGACTCGTTGAACAGGCATCTAACTAGGAGGCTGCGTTCGTCTCTCCTAGAAAGAGAGGCGAGCAGCCCAAGACAGCTTCAGCTCCTCTCATCAACGTATTCCCCCCGCGTCTCGTGCATTGTGAACGTAATGATCCGTACAAGTGGTGCTCCAACTCGCCCCCACAGTTTTTCCAGACACTTTTGGATGCTGCGCCGATTCAACCTAGAGAATATGGGTTAGGACATCAATGACCAATGCAGAACGCGTGTGCCACTTACAGCTCCAAATAACACCCACAAGCTTACGGTGGCCCCCCCACCTCTGACCACTGGCAAGAAAACAATGCCTGATGAGCGAGACAAAGGGGGGGGGAGGTTGTTTGATAGCAGAAACTCCCTTCTACCGGAGAGTCGGGCCCGACTTTTTCGAAAGACTCGCCTGTGTCGTTGCGCACTTTGGCACCCTACAACACAGCGAACCAAGAAGAAAAAAAACCAGGGCCGCATTAAGGGCAGGGGTCGGATGATTTCCGAAGGAAGAACTGCCGCAGGCTTGAACACTTTCAGAAGAATGCACTGAACTGAAACAGGCAGAAGCACAATGGCGAAAAGCATGTAGCAACCAAGGGGACCAGCTTGCGAGACGACCTAGCGGGCGCGACGTTGGCTTTCGTCGTCGTCGCCGCCTCTCCGCGCAGCCTGGAGGACCATCTGGTCATAGCTGCCAGCGTAGGCGTCCGTCTCGTTGGCGCTGCTCCTAATCAGGTTTTTGTAATGGGTCGGATCATCCGTGCCCTGGAGGCTGCCGCGGCCAAAGGCCGTGAGGGGGCCGAACTTGGGGTCCCAGTTATAGGGTGTGCTCTGAAAGAGGCTGCTGGCTTGCGAGAATGCCATGCTCGATCCAGGAAAGTGTCCTTCGTGCGAGAAGAGCTGCTGCTCCTGCTTGTCGGCATTGGCGAGGGTCGAGCGCGAACCACCGTAGCCATGAGAGTGTGACATGGAACGGCCGCCTTGGCTTCCGTGACCGTTGGTCGGCGGCAAGGCGCGAGGCCAAGCGTCGGCGCCGGCAGCCGTGTAATCTTGGCTGGCCGAGCGAGACGTGGCCTTGGGAACATCGAAGGCTTGGAGCAGGCGGGCGCGGTGGGCTGCGAGACCAACGTCGGGCGACAGGGGGCCGTATTGCGGATATTGTTCTGCAAGGCTGTGGACCCTGCCGTTGCCGACCTGGTGTCCCTGGAGGTTCATGTTGCTGAATGCACCGCCGAAATCTTGACCATCGTGGTTGGCAAGAGCAGGATTGGAGAATACATCCGGGCGTGCAAGCTCCGCAGATCTCGTGTTAGGGGTAGGCTGATAGACCATGCTCCAGGGCAGAGCAGGAAAGGCGCTGGCACTTGCAGCGCCGAAAGCAGACGGGTCTCTGGGGCGCGCACCGCCAAAGACTTCGTTAGCAGTGGCAGAGTGCATTCCATAGGATGAATCATCGTGTTCCTGCTGAGCAGACGCAGGGAAGTTGTCCATGCCTGAGTGAGCATCCGGGGGTTGCATGAAATCGTTTACCATATTCATGACCTCGCTATTCTCGCTGAAGTCATATTCAGTTGTGTTCATGGTTGCGTTCTTTGGCTGGATAGGCACTGTGTTCGGGCCGTAACAATTGCCACTGACGTATCCGTTGCGGCCACTCTCGTGCGCTGCATTTGAACCCTTGACCAAATTGCTGCTGGCGTCATTTGGGGCCACCTCAAGCGAAGGTCGGCTGTCACCAGCAGCAGGCTGTCTAACGCTCTCGGGATTCTTGACGTATCCAGCTGACTGAGAGGGCTCTTGAGTACCGTACTGCTGAGGGGAGGCTTGAGTCTCCTGGGTGGTCGGAACGACCTCGCCGTAAGTGAAGACAAGTCGATCCTCATGGAAAGCGAACGGAAGTGCTGAATCCTCGGTCAAGGCATAGCCACAGAGAAGAACATCCAGCATGCGGGCAAGGCCAGCCTCCCAGCCTTCCAAGAGTTTGCCATCATAGTAGTCACACAGGGGCTTCACCACGTTGAGCTCCTGGTTGAACGATAAACGGCATCTCGGTTCGAGTGTCGGATCGTTGAGGGGGAGAAGACCAATGGCCATGTGGTCTTCCGGAAGCATGTGGGGTGCGAGGCTCAAGCCGTCGCCGCCGTGCAGCTCAGCGATGAGGCTGAGGCATTCAGCAAGCAGCTTCCCAACTTGCTCAACGGGCACATTCGGTGAAGCTACGCCAACTTCAGCGCGGCAGGCAACGAGCCAAGATGTGTATAGGCGCACGAGCGGAAGGATCACAAGCTCTGTCGGAGTCGACTGGGGCCGCGTGCTGTTGTTGTCCGACAAATCCTTGCCGGCGTGTGCGTCCTCCCAGTCGATGCGCTCAACCTTCAAGGTCTCCAGCTCTGTCTTGAAGATGTTCAAAATAGTGCCGAAGAAGAGGAAATTGAGGCGCAAGATATTCTTCGGGTAGAGCGAGGCCTCGTTTTCTGGGCCCGTGTAAGCATTCACACTCGCAAGCGTCACTGGATCATTCAACCTACCCTTGACCGACTGTGTAGCCACATAGTAAGCGGCCATATTGATAAGTACCATCTTCAGAAGCATCGCGCTTGCGTCAGGATCTCTAATAGCGGCATCGAGGCGATGGATGACCTCAGCCTCCAGCTCGCGCTGCTGGGGGAAAGGCTCTCCACGGTAACAATAGGCATGAAGCCTGAGGAACCACATCATGAGAGGATCGTAAGGGCCGGATTGCTTGGGCATGCCAGACTTGACAGAGCTGAGGGTTGCCTTAAACTGGAGCTCGAGGTTGTTGGTAGCGCGCGGATGGGGTTCTTCAATAGCGAGAGACCGGAAGAAGTGGTAGACAATGTCGAAGTCACGCTTCTCATCCAGGTAGATGATGGCCATCTGGTGGTGAGCGTGGCCCACGGTCGGCTTAAGATCGTGAGCAAGTTCGTAATAAGTCAAAGCCAGATGGGTACTGGGCTTCTTGTTGTGGCGGACCTGGAGTCGGTACCGAACCAGATCGCCTAGGCGGATGAGAGTCATGTAGCAAGAATGGAGGGCCATGAGACGGATGGATGAAGGGACATCATTGGTTCGGTCCTTCCCGCCGTTGCCACTGTTGGAGTCTTCGGCATCCTTTTGTTCGGACGAGATGCGTCTAGCAGCCACCTGCAATTCAGGAATGCCGTATCGATTGGCAAGGCGCCGGATGTATTCCTCGTAGAAGCGCTGGGAAAGCTTGAGGAACCGGACGTAGGGCGTCTCGAGCTTGCTCTTAAGCACTGCGAGCTGGGCTGTTCGGACTCGGTTGAGTGAATTGCGATACTCGCTGTTGACCAGAACGTGCGCCTGCCAAAGAGTCTCCTCGACGTTTTCTTTGGCAGCATAGATGTAGTCCATGAAGAGGGTCTGCACGCAGAGCAGGCGCAAACTTGACAACGTTAGAAAGCTGTCTTTGCAGGCATTGACTGTGAAGCCAGGGACAAAAAGAAACTTACTGGGCAAGGATCTCGGCCAACTTCTCGTACCGTGGAATGTTGCTCACATCCTCCTCACGTCGGAGCTTCGCAACCTGCGAGCTCAAGAGCTTGCGGATCTTCTGAGCCTCACTGTAGTTAAATTGTTGTTAGTCTAGATCCTCCTCACCGATGCAAACTTGCAAGCCAGGCAACACTCTGGGGGCCTTACGTCCAAACATCCTCCACATTGGGCATCTGTGGCTGTTGTTGCTCTCCCTCCATGGGCTGCTGCGCCTTCCCAACCTGTTCCGGCTTCTTCGCCAGTTTCGGCGTCTCTGACGGCTTGGAAGGGGTTGCCTGCGCCTGCTCGTTCTGCTTTGCATTTTTCGGTTGCTTTGCCTGGCGCGAGTGCCTCGAGGTCTTGGGTCGATCAGCCATGGTGGCAGATTTGTCGCGAGCTACTCGGCAAACTTGCGAGGTGGCGAGCAGTGCGAGAAGAATGCGCGCGTCTCGCGATGAGCAGACTCTGCTTGTGCGATGTGTCGAGACAAGAGAGCCGAGTGTCTCGTCTTTGTTGTCTTTCTGTATCGGGATCCCCTGGCTTCCGGATCGAAAGCAGTGTTTGATGCGATTGCCGTGTAAGGGGGGGGAGGGATCAAGTGTGATCGCAGCAGGTCGTGTGCTACGCCCTCACTCTACGGAAAGCTGACTTCGTAGTCTCGAGAGTTCCATAACCTCGTTCGTTGGTCTTGGGAGGAGGGCGGTCGGGAAGAGAGTGGTCCGAGGCAACAGCAGGTGATGAGGATGCGACGGCTAGAGGAGAAAACATTGGGCAACGGCAGATACAGGAATATGCGGCAAAACAGCGCCCAGAGGCACAAGGTTCGGACATTCAAGAACAAAAAAACTCTAACAAGAGATGAGCGCGCACGCGTGCGTCAGGTGATGCGACAAGGACTCTGGGAGAGGTCGTTGGGAGCAGGTCGCGATGTGTTTTCCCAGCGTCGCGGAAACTCAAGAGGCAAAAGACAAAGCTAGCCTCGCCTAAATCTCCATTATGACCCTGATGTTGGATTGCTCTGCCCCTCAGGTACGCAACGTTCGCCATGAGGCTCGTGCAGAGGCGCTAGGCCATGCTGATCGTCAAGAGGCACTTCGACCACCTTCAACCCCACCACGCTCGTTTACGACCTGCATTGCATGCCTGCGAGCCAGGTAGGTTGGTTGGCAAGCTGGTTGGGCACCTCCAGTAACGAGGGGCACACCGCTGCTGCTGTGTTTCTTTGAACTTCGCTGTCTCATCTACACGACAACCAGGTTTCTTGGACAGAAGAGTGGGAGTAAATGTTTGCAAAAGCCATCGTTGTTCATCTACTCTTTTTCTGCTTGCACCTGACGACACACAATCGCCTACCTTCCCTCCCACACCCCATCATCGCGACGCAGTTGCTGGAACAAGGGCTTGCAGGGTAATCCACCCCAATACAACCACTTGAGGATGAAGCGCTCACGAGAGGCCGAAGACGAGCCCGACTCGGATTGTGCCGTAGTAGACGACCACGACAGTCCAGAACCACCAGCTAACACAGACGAGCTTCCGGCTACCAAGATCACCTACCTAGATCCATCAGGCCACAGCATCACCGGCGAAGACGTCATCATGAGGTGCCATCTGCCAGGCCACAAGGACGGTATGGCCTTCAGGTCATACGACGAGTATCAGTCGCACTACCACAAAGCACACACCAACCGCTGCCTAGAATGTCGCAAGAACTTTCCCTCGTCGCACCTTTTGAGCGTGCACATTGAAGAATGTCACGATTCTTTTGTCGCAGTGAAGCGGGAAAGGGGTGAGCACACTGTGAGTTCCCATCCTTCACACATGTTGCACGTCGTACACCAGCTGACGCGCTCTACAGTTTTCCTGCTTTGTCGAAGGGTGTGAGAGAAAGTGCATGACGCACCAGAAGCGAAGGATGCATCTTATCGACAAGCACATGTATCCCAAGAACTTCTTCTTTGCTGTCACGAAAGCAGGCATCGACGGCCGTAGCTCCCTCCTAATCGAGGAAGGCCATCATCGGAGGAGATCATCTGTGGGCAATCCCAACAACGCAAAATCACTACGGCGAAGGTCAGGTCAGCAGGAGCCAACTACGTCACCAGGTGAGGCTGGTCAGTCTACGGCGGGCGGCGCCAAAACAACACAAGCGAAGGCCCAACCGACAACAGGGCACTCTGAACGCCCCGACACCGACATGGAGGATCTGGCAGGGGCCATGTCTTCGTTGCAGTTCATTCCCAACGCCGTACGGTTTGGGAGGGGAGGTGGCAAGGCAGGCTTCGCAAAGAAGTGAACGACTTGGCGCGTCGGTGGCGGGTCGTCGTGGACGATGGGCTGGAGGGAGAACGGGTCACGTATCACTGTCATGATTAGCGCCATTGCCTTGATGATCTTGCAGGTCAATTTGAAGGACCACTACCTCTTGCAAATGTTCGTTCCTCCATTTCGCCTCGTCTCGGAGGGGGTCCCAAAGCATGCGCCAGTCGCCAAACGCCAACCCAAATAACCTGTGGGGGTGAGACGGAGGGAATCATCGTAACGTCGCGCCTAATCGCTTGAGGCGCATCCTCGGCACCCGCAGCTGACACACTGAACCTCCTGGTCGTCTTTGAGGGTCGCCTTCGGCACGCGACAAACGCAAGTCGAGTTGAAGTTGGTCTCCTTCGTCTGGACACAGCGGAGGCAGCAGAGCTGGATTCCTCGTCAGCGCAAGATCGAGAGTGATCATGAGATTGCCGGGACTAACCTTTTCATATCCTTGCTTCTTCCACTTCGCGATTAGCATCGCATCGGCGTATCCGTTCTTGAGAAGCCAGTCGTAGAGCTGCTTGCTGATAGCCTCCTTCTCGTAGTACAAGTCGTAAATGTATCGACTCCGTTGGTGTGAGATCTGGAAGATCTCCCATTGCGCCTGGTGTTTCGGACCTGTTGGTGGGGGCTTGTTCTGCGCGTCCTTCATCTTGTTCTGGAAAATCAAGAGCTGGTCTTCGAGGTCGCTGAAGCCGTCTGGAGGCGGCTTGCGCTTGGAGGAGTGGCGAATGGGAGGCATGGCGTTGGTTGCTGTTTGGCTAGGACGGAGAGATCGCGCAAAAAAATAAAGAACCACTTGCGTATTCCAGACGTCGTTGGTTGATAACTCAGGAGGTAGTAGAGGGGGGTCGTACGTGAGACTTTCGTGTCGAGAAAGCTCATGCATTCAAGTCAACATATGTAGAGGCGAGAGCACTGGAGGGGCAACGAAGTCTTGATGGTCCACTCACGTGATCGGACAGGTGCCTGCAATGATGACGAAGGAGCAAACAATTAGGTCCTGTACTATGCAACTAAGCAGCTCAGTGTCCGCGGATCGAGCTACATTCGAGATGAACATGTAAAACTGTGTGATGTTTCGATACCTACGTGCAAAAAGGGAGCACTGATTGAAATGATGCTACGAGGCGCATAGTATATATCGCATACTCCCTGCTTGACGAAGAAGCGACCTGTCGCAAAGGTAGGCTTTACAGACGGCTTGGTCCACGTCCTGCTTGTACTGGGTGTATGCATCTCTCGGATAAGCAGCCAAGCTGCCAAATCCACAGGCAGTGAGTGGCTCCTGGTTTAGAATCACGTGATACATATCCACCCTCAATCCATGCTGAAGCATCCGGTGATGTCGCAGTCCCCAACGACGAACCACCAGAAGCAGTCGATTCATCACAGCATTGGCCGCCCAAAATGGCGATTACACCGACACAATTCGCGCAGAAGACGCGCCAGTGTACGCAGCGTCCCTCCGATGCCGAGATCTCAGCGCTAACATGCCGTGCAGCTGCCAATTGGCCCGAGGCCAAGCGACGAGTGCTTCACTCCTACCGACAATGGATCCGCGCGGTATGACTGCTCCCGATACCCAAACACGCGATACAGAGAATCTGCAAGACTGCTCAAGGAAAAAACGAGGCTGACTTTGTTGGCACCAGGCTCCCGAGGTTCAGACCATGTACAATCTGCCCATGCCAGTGTCGGTTATCCGCACCCGGATGCGTGAGGAGTTTGAGCGCCACCGCTTTGCCAACAAGCTCTCCGTCGTGGATGTGCTGCTGTTCAAGAGCCATGCTGATTACCAGGTGCGTTTCCTACTGGCTTTGAAATCGTCCGATGCTGTGATGCGGAGGCTCCAGCGCGTGGATGATTGATGCGTGCCCTTTCCAACTCTATCATACTGACCATGCTTCCCTGTGCGTAGGAGACGATGAACTTTTGGCGCCAGACCAACCACATCATGTCTTACTTCAAGAACGAGAACTTCAGGGGAGACGACAGGCTACCCAAGAGCTTCATGTCCGGATTCCTCGAGGTGAGCTCGTCTACGCACACGGCCCTTCGGGGCATCACGAATGACACAGCTAACCCAGTACGCAGGGCCGCAACTAGCGAGAGGCAGGATGCGAGGTGGAGCGAAAGACAGAGGGAGCAGGCGAGGAGCCAGTGCATTGTACATAGTGCCAATAGAAGAAATTACCAAAACACCCCGAGAACGCCCGTCTATGTTCCGTACCTCCACAACGCCCCTTGTCCGTCACGCCCTTTTTGTTAACCTTCACGGACTCTTCCTAGACTTTAGGTGCTCATGACTCCATCTTGTCGACGGCGAAAGAGTCGCGTTCACGAGTGAACTCATCAGTCATGACATCGCAAAGTCCTTGCAGATCCTTCAGACCTTTTGACAACGCGGACACTGCAGTGCCATCTGTGAAATGTTAGCAGAGGCACACAATGCTGCAGTTGCATATCGCTTACCATAGGTCTGGATTCTGATGTTCATGAGATCCTCGGAAGGATGGGGAATGGAGTAGGCGCAGAACTCAACATCAGGGCTTACAAAGTCAGCATATGGCAGCGCTTCAAGGTGAACGGATTGACTGACTTCTTCATAATGATGTATCTCAGGGCGTTGCCAAGGGTGTGTCCCTCAGCCTTGAACTCAAACGAGGCCGCCGTGTCGGTGGAACCAGGGAGCTTGTACAATGTCAGCATGCTCTTTGTTTCCGACCTCGTAACCGGGCTGACGTTACAATTCGGACGCGCTGCTCAAGCTCCTCCTCGTCCTCTTCGTCCTCCTCACCCTGCTGCCCGTCATTGGCAAACTCATCCTCTGCCGTGGGCTGGTGTGAGGGAGGGGCGCCGTCCTCCATGGGCACGTCGGCGCTGGTCTCGTCTGTCCTTCCGGGCATATTGGCGGTATTATGCGGGAGATCTGGGGTATGGAGGGGCGTATATGCGGCGTTGGCGATGAATGCAGGGCTGTGGCTGTATTGAAGCTGACCATCGGCCGTGAGATGCGTTTGTCTTGAATTTTTTTGGCGGAGAGGCGGGCACTTTCCGCCCCAGCCAACGACAGTTTTTGGCGCCAGTGCCCCACATTTTTATCGCAACTCCAAATCGGGAGTTGGCTTAAAGAGTCGGAATGCCTGCCTTCTGGAGTCGAGCATTGGATTTTCCAATACGTGGTGAATGAAGCTTGGCCAGATGCATCGACCGACCGCTCGACAATACACACGGCTGGCTGCAAGTGCGGTGAGCATGTCGCTCGTATACCGAGGAAGCCCTTCGTCATGAGCGACCACCGTACCCCAGCCATGCATGACTGCAACCATTCTTTCCAGAATGTACCTTATGCGCATCGACACCAGAATCCCCTACCACGAATGCATTCTCGGATCTTACACACCAGCGCCACAACTGATGGTTGAAACATAATAAGCTCGGAGGACCAATGGTCATCTCCGTCACATTGCACGGCAGTTGAAGGTTCTCCAAAGCAGGCGGGTGGCCAAGAAGCGCACAGGATCTCCATGGCTCGATCAGAGCTGGGGCACTGTATCGTTACCTCGCACCCCTATGCGGCAATCGATAAAAGCCCACTGGCGCGCGGCAAGGTGCTTGAGCCGCGACGCACGACTCAGGGACTCGAAGGCAGGCCGCCAGCGAGTCAACTCGGCCGGAGCTGTGTCCCTTTGAGGACGCTCTTCACACCGAGTCCGACGTGTTAATGCAGCGGAGGGTTATAACATGGTAACTGTAGCCAGGGGGGGCCGCAAAGTTCGCCTGTTGGAAACAGGCACAGCCTTCAAATTGCCATTGGCCCCTTCCCCGACGGACATCGCCGTGACGGGCGCGTGCCTTTCAGCCTTTGGCTTTTTTTTTCGATATCGCAAATCGGCATTAACAAGTAGGCCCTGCGCATTGTGGTCGTTGACGAGTGAATATGAATCAAGTCAGTGCTTCACCCTTTATTAGGGCCCATGAACAGGATGCTGCAAGTTGGATGGATGGGGGCCAGGCCAAACGTCCCATGTTGGTTACGTCGGCAATTCGCGGCCGGCGGGGACCGACGTGTGAACGAAGCGCAGGGCTATACGCCCGGCAATTTTTTTTCTGAAGATCCTCGTGACCAACAGGTCGTAAAACGAGGGTTTTCGCAAGTGATGACAGTGCCTGAAAGCAAAGCTGGCAGCTGGCCAGGTGTGTGAGTCGAGACTCACAGCTGCGACCTAAAGTGATTGGGCAAGGCTGTGCTTGTGCTGGCCGTGTTTCAGAAGCAATGGGCAGTGCTATTGGTCTGACGGCCAGTAGTGGGGCTGTCCCGATCGGGTTTGTGGCAGCTAATGGGGGCGCGGCCAGGGGCCATAGGGGCGCTCGCTGGGGCCAAGGGGAATGGCTTGCAGCAAGTTGCAGGTGAGAAACGGTGAGAAGACAGGGATCAGCAATATCACGATGGGAAGGGGGAGGGGGGGCGAGGGGGGGCCAGCTGTGGTGCAAAAAGCAAAGGATGGAGGGTCACGATGGGGATTTGTCGGTCCTGTCAGCTGGTTGACCGACTTTGCTGTTGCGGTCAGCGCACGCGCGTGACATCCATCGTGGCTTACTCTACTGACTTGCCTCGATGGAAAGGAGAGGCTCGAAAGCATGAGGAGGCAGATCAAGGGCGTCGCACTACGCGCGGCGAAACATGGCACAGCATGGCATGCGAGACGGTGTTTGGCAACGTCTCCATCTCGTATCGAACTGCGCAAGCTTGCCAGCTGCGGTACTCTGTGTGCTTCATCGACGACCGATTCCCGGCGGAGGCGAGCTTCAAGACATGGATC